CATCCATCTCCTATAACATGCCACGGTCCCACCCTGATACCAATTCTTCCTGCAGAGAGTAGGTGAAGATAATTTATGGGGGTTCTGTCACCAAAGTACCTGTGTTTTGGAGGCACCTGGGTGGCTCAGTCAATTAAGCATCCGACTTCAATGCAGGTCATGATCTTGTGGTACATGAGTTTGAGCCCTGAGTCAGGCTCTCTGCTGTCAGTGCAGAGCCTGCTTCTGATCTTCTGTCCCACTAGCTCCCTGCCCCTCCCCGCTCATGCTCGCTCTCTCTCAAAAATAATATATATAAACATTTAAAAAAGTATCTGTGGTTTTTTTAAGGTTTATTTATTTTGATGTCAGCACAGAGCCTGACGCAGAGCTCAAACTCATGAACCATAAGAGCATGACCTGAGTCGAAGTTGAATGCTTAACTGACTGAGCCACCCAGGTGTCCCCAAAGTGCCTGTGTTTTAATGGAAAACTCTGGAAGGCCCAGAGGAGTGACTTCAAAGCCATATGAGATATTCTAAAGTAGAGTCTTCCCTCGGGCACTTCATCCTCAACACACCCCACATACAGGCAACTGCCAGGGCCATCTACCTTCTTAAGCCTCAATTTCCCCAGCTGTAAAAATGAGCAGCAAAATTAGGTCATTTTACAGTCCCTTCTAACTCTGACATATAAGATTTTAGCATCTTGAGCTTCGACAGCCTCCCATGCTGAGAGCACAGGGCTGGCCAGCTCTTGTTAGGAGGCAGCTAGTCTGTGGTTTGGCACCACTGCCCAGCCGGCATTTATTAAATCAGTGGGATGTGGTCCCTTCTGGCCTGGAAAGAGAACATTAAGCTCCAAAAACTTCCTGCAGCAGGCCTCCTTCAGAGAGTACTGCTCAGAGGGGTGAAGAACAAAACCATTCAGATCCTTGGCAGTGCTCCAAGATCCTGTTCACTAGTATTTTTGCCCTGTCTACACGGAAAGCCAGTGACTAAAAACATCTGGAAGCCTGTTAAAGACTTGGGTGACTTCTTTCTCCTTTCAGGGGTGGCTGTTCTTGACCTTGGTAATCCAAGTTGACCTTTGCCAATGCCAATCTTCTGCACTTCATTGGGCAACAACCCTTTAATAAAATCCACATGAATCCATCTGCTAACAGCTCCTGGAAGGGCTGTAGGATCTAACACCTGTCCTGCATTCCTTGAGCCCTAGTAGCTAGGGAGAACAGGGCTGAGACCCAACTCTTGCACCTCTGGGTCTTACAGTTGAATTGGAGAGAAAGGGAGTATGTAGGAAGAGAGAAACATAAATGATGAGAGCTTGCTAAAGGTGGAGAAGGCAGCTGCAGGCAAGGAGTGCACAGGTGTAGTGATGGGGCTGCTGGGTAGCGTAGCAGAGTCCCCCCGGCCTGAGCCTGCCTCTTGCCAATGACTTCAGTCGTGCTGACAAGGCCCATGCTGACTCTGGGAGGCAGGACTGGGCTGAGAGGTTGGGGTCCACATGCCACTGAACTGGTGGGCCAGTGTGGTCTGTCCCTCATCTCTCTTTTGTGACCTGGAATATGTCACAAATTCCTTGGGTCTCTATTTTAGGAAGCATCTACTGAGCACCTACAACATATGTGACTGGTGCCAGGGAGAGGGTACATTTAGTGAGTAGAACAAACCCAATTCCTGTGCTCTGGTCCGACTCACTTGTATTTCCTGTCCAACTACAGGTCACAAAGTCTCAGGAACGCTGGTCGGGTGGAGTTCCAGAGGCAGGAGAGTCACCCTGACTCCTCCCTTAGCTTCTCTGGGGTATGAGTGCATGGACACAGGATTCTCTCTGGCTAAGGTCAGAGCTCCATTTCACTTTAGCTTTCTCCCCACCAGGGCAAGAGTCCAAGAAATAAAGACAACAGGTTAGATGGGCAGATAAGCTCCCTGAAGTTTATTTGTAAATTACAAGGATGTACTTATTACACCTAGACTTTTTAACTCCTCGTTTGCCTTCCTTTCCACCCAGCTGAGATTTTTGTTTGCGTTCCTCTGAGAGTCCTCAGCTGATTTTACTAACCCATCTGCTCTTTGCTATGATGAGCCAAAGACCAACACAATCCTTCCCCGGAGTTGACAATGGTTCATCTTGAAAGGCCCTCAGGGATCCTACAGAGGTAAGTGACTGTGCTCTGGTCAGCTCATGAGGCTGTGGAGCAGAGAAACTGGTGTCCTTCTTGGAGCGCTGCCTTCATCTCTTTGAACTGAGCCAACTGGCAGGCCTCATCCAACCCCAGCCAGCGGTAGGCTTGGTGCTCGTGGGAGAGGCGGATCTCCACATTGCAGTCCTTTACCTCCGCCAGCCAGTAGATGACTGTTTTAGGCTTCTCTCTGGCCACATAATTGAGCTCCCTCCTGAACCCCTCAATGATGGTCAGCTGGTCTGCTTCTATGCCTGCTTCCTCCTGAGTCTCCCGCAAGGCTGCTTCTAAGTCATTTTCTCCTGATTCCACATGGCCTGGTTAGGAAAAAAGAGGAAGAGATAATCTTCAACAAAGGTGGAATTTTCAGGTCAGATGATTTAAAGATAGGGGGTCTTCGGTGACTTTTTAAATTTTAAAAAAAAAATTTAAAAAAAAAATTTTTTTTTTCAACGTTTATTTATTTTTTGGGACAGAGAGAGACAGAGCATGAACGGGGGAGGGGCAGAGAGAGAGGGAGACACAGAATCAGAAACAGGCTCCAGGCTCTGAGCCATCAGCCCAGAGCCCGACGCGGGGCTCGAACTCACGGACCGCGAGATCGTGACCTGGCTGAAGTCGGACGCTTAACCGACTGCGCCACCCAGGCGCCCCTAAAAAAAATTTTTTTTAATGTTTATTTATTTTTGAGACAGAGCATGAACAGGGGAGGGGCAGAGAGAGAGGGAGACACAGAATCTGAAACAGGCTCCAGGCTCTGAACTGTCAGCACAGAGCCCGACGTGGGGCTCAAACCCACAAACTGTGAGATCATGACCCGAGCCAAAGTCAGATGCTTAACCGACTGAGCCACCCAGGTGTCCCTTCGGTGACTTTTTTAGATGTTGCTAGGCTAAAGGGGGTCTACAGATTGGCAACATCCTAACATGCCTAGGAATAGGGTACAGAACAGGTAGTGTCTGGGCAATTCCTCCTCCCCACCGTATCTTCTCTGCAGAGAGTTAAGACCATGGGTTTAACAAGTCTGATCTAGAAGACTGCTCTTCAGTGGTGAGAGAGATGGCCTTCCTCAGACCTCTGCTTTCTTATTCTTTGGAGCTCTCCTCATCTCAAGTTCTCAGGGAGACTTTTCCCTTGGAGACCTTAAATTGATTTTCCGAAGGAAGAGCAGTCTCTTCTTGGCAGGTGAGAGCTGGCTGAAGAGGGAGCACTTTGCCTACAATCCACAGTGAGGACTCAACACTGTCTTAGTTGGTCCCTGAAGTCCCAGGGCCAACAGACAGGCTCCAAACCCTGCACTGCAGCACTGGCAGCTGTTTCCAAGTAGCTATCAAGGCTTTTCCAAATTGTTTTCATCTTTCTGAGCAAGGCCAGATTCCAGTTTCATAGGGAAAGTCCTGATGGGAACTTAGACTAAGGACAAGCTGAGAGCCAGTTCTAAGAAAATTTGCTGGCAAGATTCAAACCCAACCAGACAGCTGCCAAGAAACTGCTGTAGGAGAGCCTGAAGCTCTGCAGACTGGGAGCAGCCCTCAGTTTTGCCTCTAGGCCCTCCTTGCAAATTCTCAGCTTGCCCAGAGGGGCCAGGAAGGACAGGGAGGGGTCTGGCAGCCTCTGTCAACACATGGTTCCAGCAAGTTGCTGGGGGCCTCCTGGTTCAGGAGCTCATGGGGAACAGGAATTGTTAGCTGTTCCCTTCTTGGTTCAGAGACAAGGCGACCTCCTAGCCCTCCTCCTTCCCAGGGGCTCTCCCAGCAGTGCCCTGAGTCAGCCGTTGCTGCACAGCTCCCACAGAAAGCAACCAGGAGTCGGGGCTTAAAAAACCAATCTAGCTCATGGCTTTTGGGAATCTTCTCTCTATAGCACTTTATGTAGCTATGTGCACAAAGCCAGGTAGGTACTGCATTGGGGGAGGAAGGTGAGAGGGATGTTGGTGGTAAGAGGTGACCCTGATTCCCACCTGCCCTCAGAAGTGTGGGGAGTCTCTGAACACGCCCTTCCCAATAGTGTCTGTGCTGCATTCTACCCATGAGTGTTAACAGGGTGACTTCTTCAGGCCCAGGCGGGACAAAATTTGGAGAGTTCCTTTGAAATCTTTCAGTGAGAGGTACTATGCAGTATGACATTGGTGATCAGGAGACAAGTGTGAAGATTTCTATTCATAGAGTTTGTGACACTTTTGTCCCTCTCTTTCACCTTATTTCTCCTTAGTGAAATGCAAAAGTGCAAAGTTTATTTCCTGTTCCCATTTCCTTATTTTCCTCCAACCTGGATCCTTGTTCACCCCTCCCCCTGGCACTCCCCTTTAAAGTTCCTGCTCCCTTCTATCTGGAGGCTGTTCACTCTGGGCTCCTGACCTGTAACCCAGTAATGATTTGATCCCAAGGCCCCCAATTCCCAGCCCAGTGCCTTTTCTCCTACCCAGGCATTCACCACAGAGACTGGCACTCCAGTGAATGTGAGTCACACACAGAAAACCGGTGCTGCTTCTGCCCTGGGATTCAATCACAAAGTTCTATTTCCAGCTCTGCTCTGGCCTGGCATGGAGACCATGTATGTAGAAAGGATCAAGGGCTCCTGCCCCCACCTCCCCTCCTGCAGCACAGTCACTGAAATATAAGCTTTGTGGAGGGCCTGGCAGGGTGGCTTTCTGAGCAACACTCAGCATTTTCCCGAGAGCCAGCCCCTCTGCCTTGCACCTTTGGGAGGAGTCCAGTGATGAATGCCATCTGATGCCTGCAGCAGTAGAAACTCAATCGCAGGGTTGTCCACCTTGGGAATGAGGCGTCTTCGGAAAATGATCAAGCCACACGCTCTGAGGGCCATGGTCTATCTGAGGACTTAAGGAAGAAGATGTGAGACCCTGGGAAGTTACACAAAACAGGAAGATCTACCCTGGGGGCAGCATTCTGGTGCTGGGGAATAGCACAGACCAGCTAACAGTGACCTCATCAGCTACAGAAAAAGGCAGCATACCGAAGACAAGATGGGAGAAACCAGGAATCAGAGGCTGATTTGTGTGTGATGGTAGGACCCTGGCCCCTACCCTGTCAGGGAAGCTCTATCCCAACTCCTCCAGGACTCCCTGTTAAGACACAGGGGCTGGGGCTGGTGTGTGTGCATTAAGAGACTGGAGGTCCTCAGAAGCAAACCCACTGAAACTGGAGAGATGCTGTGAATGGAAGAGATGAGGAACATTTTCATCAAACCCATGGTCCCATTTCCTTTCGGCCTCCAGCCTGAGTCTGTGGGGCAGAGACCCCAGCAATGTAGTTTCAGATGGCTTGAGGAGTCATTCAGGGAAGGTAGCTTGGGGTACTAAAAAGCTTTTTGTTATTGATATTTTTAGTCTTTTATCCAGGTTTTAGAATGTTACACGTTCATGTGGTTCATAATTCTAAGTACAAAAGGGCACACACAGTAGAAAATCTCTTTCCTACCCCATCAAAAGCAAGCTAGTATAATGGTCAAGAGTGTGAATCTGCAGCGTGAGTTCAAGTTTTGACTTTACTACTTATTCACTATGTGATTAGCTCCTAAGTCTCATTTTCCTCAGCTCTATCTAAGACAGGATAGTAACAGTTCTACCTCAGGGGCACCTGGGTGGCTCAGTCAGTTAAGCAGCAGACTTTGGCTCAGGTCATGACCTCATATGGTTTGTAGGTTCGAGCCCTGGGTTGGGTTCTATGCTGAAAGCTCAGAACCTGGAGCCTGCTTCAGATTCTGTGTGTGTGTGTCTCTCTCTCTGCCCCTACCCCATTCATGTTCTGTCTTTCAAAACTGAATAAACGTTAAAAAAAAATTTAATAACAGTTCTACCTCAAGGGGTTGCTGTGACTTAACTTTTGTAAAGTGCTTTAGAACAGTGCCAGGCATGTAATAAGCATTCAAAAGATTTCAATATGCATAGGAAAATGTTTGGAAGGATACACATCATTAATAGTATTTCCTGGAGGATGAGATTATGGGGAGACTTTAATTTTCCAGTCCCTATATTTCTGTATTGTTTGGAAGTTTACAGAAAATATTTATTAACTTTATAACCAGCAATTCTGTGAAGACTACAATTTTTTAGCCTTTTCCATTTTAGTTACTTTTCTTTCCATTTCAGAAAAGAATGTCAACAACAAGAACAACAACAACAACAAAAGAGAGGAAGGGCGAAGAATAGAAATACCTGCAGAAGTGAAAAAACAACTCATCTGAAGGGGGACAGGTTATCAAGGTAACAAAATATATGGAAGATCACTTATGTAAGGCCTTTCTAAAGAAAATTTGTCATTTGTTCAGTCAACAATATTGAGTAGCTACCATGTACTAAGTACATGCTAGGCCTTTGCTCTCATGCAGTTTATATTCTAGTGGGAGAGACAGATTTTAATCAAATAATTAAGCAAACTAAAAAATAATTGCCAATAAGGTATGTGCTACAAGGGAAAAATGTGTAATGGGTAACCTGACTTTGTCTGAGGGATCAAGGAAGGCTTCCTTGGAAGAAGGGATGTTGAGTAGAGAAGGACGAGTGAAAGGTAAGTTGGCAATGGGAATGAAGAGAAGAAGTGTGTTCCAGGAGAAGTGGACAGCATGAATAAAGGTCCTGAGGTGGGATGGCAGAACGAAAAGAAAATCAGATATCTTAAATGCAGCAAAGGCCTGGGAGAGTGACCCAGGCAGGAAAAGACCCAAGTCAGCAGGGCCTCATCTGCAAGATTCCAGAGCCAAAGAAGGAGCTGGTATGTTGGGCAGCAGAGCTGATGCAGAGAGCTGGAGCAGGAGGTGATGGCCTCCTCAGCCCCCTTGCTGGTACTCAATCAAGATAAGCCTGCATCTGTCAAAGGCACACAAATCAGACCCAAACTGAAACTCTTTCCAGGATAATTCTCAGAACTGTCAACACATGGCTTACCAAAAAACCAAATCCACCCAACACTGTGATCTTTTCCAAATATTTCTAAACCTATAATGAATTTTTAAGAATTAGAAATAATTCAAGTGGGTTTTTTTAAGGCTTAAAAAAAATTTTTTTTAATGTTTGTTTATTTTTGAGAGAGAAAGAAAGCATAAGTGGGCGAGGGGCAGAGAGACACACACACACATACACAGAATCCAAAGCAGGCTCCAGGCTATCAGCACAGAGCCTGACGTGGGGCTTGAACTCACAAGCCACGAGATCATGACCGGAGCTGAAGTTGGAGCTTAACCAACTGAGCCACCCAGGCACCCCTTAAGACTTTATTTTTAAGTAATTTCTATACCCATTGTGGGGCTTGAACTTACAATCCTGAGATCGAGAGTTGCATGCTCTATTGATTGAGCCAGCTAAGTGCCCCTCAAATGGGGTTTTTGAAATGGTCTGTGCTCTCATATACTGTTGGTAGGAGAGAAAATTAGCATGTCCCCTTAGGAGGGCAATTTGGTAATAATTATCAAAGCATAAAATGCACATTCCCTTACACCTAGCAATTCCATTCTAGGCACTCTGACATACACAAATACATGTTTAAGATATACACATAAGGATGTTCATCACAACCTTGTTTGCAATATCAAAAAGGAAAAAAAGGCAGAAACAAATATCCATCAATATGGGAAGGTTAAATAAAGTATAGTATATCTGTACAATGGAATATTATGGAGCCTTTTAAAAAAATGAGGTAGAGCCAAATGTGCTGCTTTTAAGAGGATTTTCAGACAGGGACGCATGGGTGGCTCAGTTGGTTAAGCCTCCGACTCTTGATTTCGGCTCAGGTCATGATCTCATGGTTCCTGGGTTCGAGCCCTGCATTGGGCTCTGTACTCATATTGTGGAGCCTGCTTGGGATTCTCCTCTCTCTCTGCCCCTTCCCAACTCTCATCCTCATGAGCTCGCTCACTCTCTCTCTCAAAATAAATAAACTAAAAAAATATATATTTTTGGACATATTAAGTGAAAAATGTATGATTCAGAATAGACTGTATAATGCTATCCCGTTTGAGTTCTAAAATTTACATGTAAACTGGTAGCAGGCTTTTTAAAACATTATGTTCTATTTCCCTGTTCTCCCTATTTATGCCAAAAACCTTCCCCATTTTGGAAACCAGAAAGAAGCACCCTGTTGCCACCGTACTGGTGAACAGAGGTTTCAAATTAGTGGTTCCAGGCTTAGGCAGAAACAGGTACCAGATACCATGCCCTCCTATAAAGATGCTTATAAAGTAGTAGCAAGTTACTGGTGAAGGGCACCTTGCTCCTGTCTTGGGTTGAGTCCCATGGAATGAATGTTGGACCCCTAGATAAGCTTAGGGATCCAAGACTAGAGGGCAGTGCCCTGCCTTGGACAGAAGCCCCAGAGCATTGCTCTACATCACTGCCATCACCAATGCATCATGGGGAAAACAACACTGCCTGTATGGGGGGTGGGGGGGGGCAAGACAGACAGGCCTGGTGTGGCCATGTGGAGACACTGGAAAGAGGGGGGCAGGCCAATATTTTCCCATGGGGAAGTGGCTTAGGGTAGTGACAAGGGCACACCTTAGAAAAATGTATCTTAGTGGACACCAATGTGTAAGGGTGACCACATCTAAGAACCAGACCAACCAATGGTTCATCTTAATGGGACCAGAAGAGCTAGGATCAGATGTTCACTTTCTACCTATCCTATTGACCTGTGGAGAGGACAGTTGTTCTAGAAAGGCAAAGCTCCTATTTACCTTTTCAATTGCTTGGCTTGAGCCAGCTGTTCTCTAGAATTTCTCTCTCCTTCCCCATACATGCTTCCTACTCATGCTTTCAGAAGCAGCTCAGTGTCACTTCTGTGAAGCCTTCTGGCTTCTAATCATTCCATCTTCTGGGCTTTTAACATGGTTTGAATAAACTTCTGTAGCGTTTGATCAGAGAAACAGAACACTATGAGGAAATTAAGGATTTGGTGTAGGGATTACATCTTGTGCAGTTATGGAAGTTGATGGAGAAATCCAAGCAACTCTGTCACCTCTGCATCTGGTGTTGTGCCTGAAGTCTCTATATGTAAGCAAGGCCAGCAGTTGGGAAGGAGAGCTGGATGTGAAGTGGAGGAGAGCAAGGAAAACTGGAACTTATGAAAACAAACCAGATCCTATGAAGACAAGTAGAACTCTTGAGGACAAATGAAACCTGTGACTTCTTTCACCATTTCCAAGCTCATGAACTTATAGGAGGAGCTGGAGCCCTTTGTCATAGAGCTGAATGGACATCTGGCCGAGCACTCGGAGTAACTGAAGGAGGACATTCAGCAGGAGTTGGGGAGCTGCCGGCCTGAGTGCTATATCCTGCACCAACAAGGTGAACCAGCAGATCAGTGTCAAAAGGTAAGTACTGCCACATGCTTGGTATCCTGCTCTGTCCTTCACAGTGTACTGTTGCTATTTCACTTAAGCTTTCCAAATCTCGCACAAAATTTTCTTGAGGTTGACCCTAACTTGGAACCATGTAGGAAGGGAATCCTGGGAAACACAGTTCCAGTTTAGCTAAGTGGACACAGAACAAAGCCACCACAAGCACAATATCTAGTCTGGTAAATCTCAGTCTGTACCTTTGGCAGGGAAGAGCCGGACCTTGGGACCCAGCACAGCAGCTTTCAGCAGATGTTCATTGACTCAACAGAACACTCTCCCCACATCCCACTGAAACAAATGCTCAGGGTATGTTCTGGGATTTTGGGAAACAGCCCAGTGTTTTCCTGAAGAGTGCCATTTACATAAAAATCAATGGAGCTATTGTTGTACATTTTCTGTTTTTCTGGAGACCATGAAGGGAAACTGTCCTGGGGTTTGAAAGTTGTCAGCTTATAGAGAAAGATACACACACACACACACACACACACACACACACACACACACCAGACTCCAAGTAGATTCAAACCTCAGGGGGTTAAAGAACACAGCATCCAATATGCAAATGTGCTTGCAGCCAGGATTGCAGAGATGAGAACTCCAAGCTGACAGCAGGCAATTCACACTTCAGAAAAGTGGCAAAGTGCCTTAGGTGGTTAAAAAAAACCTGAATAAAAAAATCCTCAATGTCATCAGAAGGTTCCAGAAGCTAAGGAAAAGTGTTCTTGCCTTTCTCTCTATATACATTTCCTTACAGCTCAGGAGGTTCAGAACCTAGGTGCCAAAAAATAATTCACAGATAAATGGCTGTACTGATGTATTGTGTTCCAATGTTTTCATCAAATTAATCAGAGTGCTATTGCAAGCATAGCTCAACCCCAAACGCCCTCACAAATATACCTTTAGACACAGAAAGAGCTCCCCAAATCCTCAACTTGTTCCTTATAATCTTAAATCCCTTTAACAGAAACTATTTCATGCCACCATGTTATCAATTAAGCATCTGCATTGTGCCAGCTATACTGTGCAAAGTTCTTTACGTGTATCTTTTCTAATGCTTAAGACAAATCTTCATGATAAGCACGACTGTCTCCAGTTTTGGATGAGGAAACTAAGACTCAAAAAGGTGAAAATCCTTGCCCAAAGGCATAGCCCAAAGGCAAGATTTGAATCCAAGTAAGTCTAACTCCATAGTATATCTCCCTCCTTATACAGCTCTGCTTACCATGAAAGATGAGGGCTTAGGGCACAAATGGCCTGGAGAGAGGATGTGCAAATAATTTATAAAATTACTCCCAGTTCCAAAATGCCCAGTTTTTGATCTATATTCATATGGGGAATTTTTTTTAAAAATTTTTAATGCTTAGGGAGACACAGAATTTGAAGCAACTCCAGGCTCTGAGCTGTCAGCACAGAGCCCAATGCAGGGCTCGAACCCACGAACTGTGAGATCATGACCTGAGCTGAAGTGATGCTTAACTGACTGAGCCACACAGGCACCCCATACATTTTAAAGGTGCCCAGCTGGAATCCTTTCCATAGAATAGGTTTTAGTTGGGGGGCAGGGAGTAGAGATGAAAATCTTGGTGCCCAAGGATGACCTGGAGAGGTAAAGTGTAGCCTTAGGCCCCTACTTTGCCTTTCTATGAGTCCTCTGCTTTTTCTCTGGGAAGGACCTAAAACCACATGTTCAAAACCATATCCAGTAGCCTGGGGGTTCCTAAGCACCAAGTGTTGGGAATACCCTTAATGCTAGTCTTGAACAAGCACAAAAACACCTAACTTAGGCAGGGTGCTGGTATCCAGGAAAGTTGCCCGGGCCACTCCGCTGTGAGGAGGAAGGCCAGTTCTGCCTGCTTACAAGCAACTCTAACTCCTCAGCTTTTCCTCTCTTCCCATATCATAATGGTCTTTTCTGATTCTTCAACTCCCCTCCTCCCTTTCAAAGGATGGAATAGACATGAAGTGCCCATCAGTGAATAAAGCTCCCTCTTTCTTGTGACAAAAAGCAAGCAAGCAAGCAAGCAAGAAGCTCCCAACTACTGTGAATAAATTGAGACAAAGAAAATGTTCCCTTAATTGCACCTTTCCCTGGGCATCTGCCACTCTCTTTTCTCACAGAGACCAAGCTGCTGAGTCATCTTGCTATCTTTGCTATTTGGCTGAGGGCGAAAACAGGAGATTTCACCTGTAAAGGCACGAATATTGGCTTCCAGGATGGGGCCAAAGTCAGACAAGGTTGGAACAAAAATCATTCCAAGTAAAGAGGATCTGTTAAGTGGCCTATTAGTGCCATCTGCTGTACAATTCTAGAAAGCAAACATGGAGAATTCTATTAGTGCCTGAAGGGATTTACTTACTCATCTAACATCTGTTGAGTATGTCCCACTTGACAAGCAGTATGACAGAATTGAAGAGTGGATATAGAGCTGAATATTATAAAGCCCCAGCTTTCTAAGGGTTCACAGTCTCGTGAAATCGGAAGGTACTTAGACAAGTTGCCAGTGTGTTTTGTGCATCATTGGGGTATGTGTAAAATGGAAAGGAAGCAAAGAAGAGGGAGTGGTTATCTTTAGGTCAAAGAGGCACCCCATAAGGATTCTGAAGGATGGCTAGGAATTCACCAGGCAGAATAAAGGTGGAGGCAAGGGGCATTCCAGGCAGAGAGGAGCGTGGGCAAAGACCCTCAAGCACAAAATGGCATTCCATTGATAAACAGCTTAGTTTATATTCTGTAGGCAATGAGAAGCCTTTGACTGATTTTAGGCAGGGTTGGTGATATGGTCAGATTGACATTTTACAAAGACATTCTGGCAGCAAGGAAGGTAGAGAATGAATTAGGATTGAAGGCAGGGAGATCAATGAGTTACAAGCTTGTCACCAATAGGCCAGGTGACAAATGATAGAGTTAAATTAAGGCAGAGACCCTGAAAAAGGAGAGGAAGGGATGAATTTGAGAAATATCTCAAAAAGAAAACCAACAGTATTTGATGTTTCATTGTTCAAGGGAGAGAGGAGGAAAGAGAGATTGTTTGGTTTGGGTGACAGTGGAATAGGGAGTAGAATGTAAAATAATGATTTGCTTGGGACAAGATGAATTTGAAGTGCTATAGACTACCCACAAGGTAAATGAACAGATGGAATTGTGTTCAGTGATCTGATCACCTCATCCCACCTCTTCATTGCCCAAGGTGAAAATTTCCTATTGGAAAAAAATTTTGCTTCCACTATAGGTACCTCTGCAGGCCACCTCCTCCACTTGGGTAAGTCTGCCTGTGCATCTGATATTCAAAGCATTTTATCCTCTTTCAGTCAGAAACAACATGGAAAAGCATGGCTGGCTTTGCAGTGAGAAAGACCTAACCCCCTAATTCAACAGTTGTATTACTTTAAGCAAAATACTTCCTTAAGCCTCACTTTCCTCATCTGTAAAATGAGGGTAACCTCTATTTTACATGGTTGTAGTAGGGTTAAAAATAATATATACATAAGATCAGACATATCAGAAGTACTGAATATATAGGAGTCATTTTTATCCCTGTTGTCATAAAAGGTCATCAGAAAGCTTCTGTATTATGATCTAATAGCATGCTCTTAGCTTCTATTGATAGCTGAATCAAGAAATGGCTTTTCATATTTCCAGCAAAACTGCTGGTGACCACGCTGTTCACTACACCATATATATTCCTTATGTATAAAGTACCACAAGATAAATTCCTTTCAATATAGGAACTGGGAAGAAATTCACTCTTTTGAAAAATGGTTTCCTTTTTTGTGTTATTTCTCTGACAAGTTTTGAACTAAATTGGGTGCTCACAGTAAGTCTACTGGCCTTGTTGGCTAGTATATTTATTTGTTTCTATTATGAAGGTAAGGGTACCATTTTGGGGGGGGGGGTAGTTACTGCTTGTCAGGCATCGTGCCAAGTGCTTTACTTTCATCAATTCACTTAATTTTCACAACAACCCTCTGAGCCTTTACCGTGATTTTTCAAGAGGAAAAAAAAGGAAAGATATGTCTGGGTAGACTCAAAGGCAGGTCTGCCTGACTCCCAACAACCTTGCTCTTAACCTTGACTCTGTATTACAGTTTTACATTTGGCTATATGATTGCAGTCAGTTTAGTAAAACCTTAGTTTGCAAGCATAATTCGTTCCGGAAACATGCCTATAATCCACAGCACTTGTATATCAAAGCAAATTTCAAGAACCATTGGCTCAGTTGTGATCATGTGACATTTCGCGTCAGGTACTACTTACATCGCAAGACATTGTCCATTTACCAAGTTAAAATTTATTAGAAACGTTTGCTTCTCTTACAGAACACTCCCAATCCAAGGTTTTCTTGTGTGTATGTGCATACATATATGTATATGTGTGTGTGTGTGTATATATATATATATATATTTTTTTTTAAGACATATAATAACAAATAACAAATACATAGGGCCCAAATCAGACCACAACAAAGAACAAGGAAGTTATGTTTTAGGTGGTGGGACTCTCCTGCGATTTTCTTTCTTTACTTCTGCTATAATTGCCACGATATTATTCATTCAATAGACGAAACATATTAGAAAATATAAAATCTCTTCTGGAAAGCAGGCAGGGTTTAAAGGGCAACAACAAAGTGAAACTGAGGCCGAGGGAGGGGAAGGTATGGCGTTCTTGCCGTAGGGCCCTAAATGTGAACTCTGGGATTCCGATGCCCCACCCCATCGTCACCTGCGTGCGGGCCAGCAAGGCTCAGAGCCATTGAACCCTCCCCTCTTCCTGAGCACAGAGGAAAACTGAGGTGCTGCGAGCGGCAGAGGGGTTGGGGTTGGTTGGGGGGAGGTCTGGCCTGCCCACGCCTCACTGCCAGCCTGGGGGAGAGCGCGTCCACCTTTGACGGTGCACCGACGGGAAGCTATTCAGCTGCAGATTCTCATCGGTCAAACCTCAGTACCTTAGCACAGAATTCAACACAGAGGCCGTTCCTTAAGACTACTCACCCAAGGCCGAGGGAGGCAGGAGGCGGGCCTTGAACGGAAAGGGGGAGTACGTCGACCAATCCGGAAGGTTCGGTTGCGCTTAGAGCGACCAACAGTATAGGGAGAAGTCTCCTCCACCCGCCTCAAAAATGTCTTTCTTTCACTTAGAACGTCGCGAGATCTTCACTCAAGCTGTACGGTTGGTTGAAAGACGCAAAGTGAGGGTTACGCCCACTGCTTCCTCCGTTCACTGATTGGTCTTCTAGAGGAAAAGGGCTCTAACGTCAACGAGTTCCGCGAATGCCCATTGGTAGATGGTGCGGCCCTGTCGGCGCGCGGGCGCCGGCGCGGGCGTTCGAACGCGGGGTTGGCGGCGTTACCATGGCGATGCGGCCTGGCCGGAGCAGCAAAAGCCGGTGAGTTGACAGCACCCCGCCAGCTTTCGGGCTCTCTCCTGTCGGTGTTGTCTTCTGTCCTCAGACAGGGTTGACCGAGGGGGAACTTGGAAGTCTCTGAGGTGAGAAATGGCGGGGGGACGACCGGAGAGACGAGGGGTAGGCCTCTGCCCCCCGGAGGATGGCACTCAGGACGCCCGCTGAACGCGTGAGGAGGCGGCGGTTGCAAGGAAACTGGGATTTGGCCTCTCATGGTTGTTTGAACGCTCATCTGCTCTTTTCTTCATCCCAAAATCTCCGCCTTTTTTTTTCTGTGACTATCTCGAGCGCTACTTCTCCCATGAAGCCTTGTCTGAGTCTCGAAATCTTGCCTTTGAACCTGTAGCCCTAACTGGAACCTTTCTTAGAAGGCACTTGTATTAGGCGTTGGGTTATTTGTGTACTTCCGTGAACCTCATTCTCCTCCTTCCTCCCATTTAGAGTTCTTTGAGGCAGAACAAGCATCTTTCATTCACAATGTCTTACACACAGTAGAGTTTTCAGGAATTATTTGTTGAGTTGAATTTAATTCACCACAAATAGATTGGATTCCCCTCTGTGCCCTGTGCCGTTTTCCCTCGCGTTTGGAGGTTATTTTCTATTTTTACGAGAGTAGAGGGAGTGCACCCTAATTCACATTAGAAGGACCTGAAAGTCCACGTTGGCCTTTCCACTGGTTGTGAAAGGGAACATCTTTTTTTTTTTTTTTTTTTTTTTTTTTTTTGAATTCTTGCTACAACTCTGGCACTGTGGCTTTTAGTCTTGTTCTCCCAATGCTTTTATTAAACTCCTTGTGAGTCTTTGCTTAAAACAAATTACTGTATGGCAAGAGTGTCTCAGTTTCTTAGTGACCTGCAGCTATTGTCACATTTTAAGAGTGCTTTGGAAACTGTTTTAAAGCATTTTCTCCTTTGTATTTTACTTGTAGTGAGAGACTACATGTAAACTACATGTAGTGAGAGACTATGCTTCAGGTGCATATAACAGCTGCTCTTGTAGCTATCCAATCATCAGGTGGCCATGATAGAATTGCTTTACCAAGACTGTTGTTTGGGGGCACCTGGGTGGCTCAGTCGGTTAAGCATTTGACTCTTGGTTTCGACTCAGGTTGTAATCTTTGAGTTTGTGGGATTGAGTCCCGCATCAGGGCTCTGTGCCAACAGCACAGAGCCTATTTGGGGCTCTTTTTCTCCCTCTCTCTCTGTCCTTCCCCTGCTTACACTCTCTCTCTCAAAATAAATAAAGGTTAAAAAAAAAAATACCGTTGTTTTGTCGACTCCTAAGACTATAATATTGCCAGTCCGGATTGTTGATGATTCTCATGTCAAATTCATAGCTCAGTGATGGTTTTAATAAAAAGATTGAAAAAGTCAGGTATAGTAACAGTGCTATTATTATCCTCTTATAAAAGTTTGAACACAACTGTATAGCTAAATTGCAGATCTGTGACATGTAATGGAAACCAAACAGGGGATTCAGGGTTTGGCGTTGGCTCTGTCTCTACTCACTGTAGCTGGTTTTACAAGCCAGTTAGCCCTTTCAGTTAGCCCTACTAATTCAAAAAGTGTTGAATTAGTAGAGCCACAGGGATTCTAGTCTATCAAGTTAGTCAAGCAGCTGTTTGTTTTTTTAATTCCAGTATAGTTAACATTGTTATATTAGTTTCAGATGTACAGTATATTAATTCAGTAATACTGTACATTACTCAGTGCTCATCATAAGTGTACTCTTTTGTTAAAGAGTTTATTCTTTAAAAATGTATGTTTATTTTGAGCGAGAGTAAGCGTGAAGGGGGGAGAGACAGAGAGAGAGGGAGGGGGGAGAATCCCAAGCAGGCTCCATGCTCCAGTGCAGAGCCTCATGTGGGGCTCAATCCCTGGACTGTGAGATCATGACCTAAACTGAAATGAAGTGAGCCACCCAGGTGCCCCTGTGGTAAGTTATTCTTAATCCCCTTCACCTATTTCCCCCATCTCCCCACCTACTTCCCCTCTGGTAACCATCAGTTGTCTATAGTTAAGAATGTTTTTTTGGTTTGTTGCTTTTTTTTTTCTTCATTTGTTTTGTTTCTTAAATTCCACATATGGGTGAAGTCATATGGTATTTCTCTTTCTCTGATTGACTTATTTCACTTAGCTTTTTATCCTCGGGATCCATCCATGTTGCTTCAGATGGCAAGATTTCTTTTTCTTTATCAGTTCTAGTAGTTCTTTATTTTTAATTTTTTTAAATGTTTATTTATTTTTGCGAGAGAGAGCATGAGCAGGGAAGGGACAGAGAGAGAGGGAAACACAGAATCTGAAGCAGGCTACAGGCTCTGAGCTGTCAGCACAGAGCCTGACATGAGGCTCAACACAGCGTTCAAACCGTGAGATCATGGCCCGAGCTGAAGTTGGACGCTCAACTGATGGAGCCACCCAGATGCCCCAAGTTTTCATTCTTTTCGATGGCTAATATTTCATTATATATATGTGTGTATGTGTGTGCCACATCTTCTTTATCTGTTCATCTGTCAATGGACACTTGGGCTGCTTGACTACTGTAAATGATGCTGCAATAATAAAAAAAATGCTGCAATAAGTAATGTTGCAGTAAACCTAGGGGTGCATATGTATTTTTGAATTAGTGTTTTCATATTTTTTGGGTAAGTACCCAGTAGTAGAAATACTGGATCATATGGTAATTCTTTTTAATGTTTTGAAGAAGCTTCATAATCTTTTTCACTGTGGTTGTACCGGTTTGCATTCCTACCAACAGTGCACAAGGATTCCTTTTACTCCACATCTTTGCCAACACTTGTTTCTTGTGTTTTTGATTTTAACCATTCTAACAGATGTGAGGGGATAGCTCATTGTGGTTTTGATTTGCATTTCCCTGATGATCAGTGATGTTGAGCATCTTTTCATGTGTCTGTTGGCTATCTGTATGTCTTCTTTGGAGAAATGTCTGTTGTTGTCTAAAAGCAATTGGTTATTTTTTGAAAAAAATTTTAATGTTTATTTATTTTTGAGAGAGACAGAGGGGGAGACACAGAATCTGAAGCAGGCTCCAGGCTCTGAGCTGTCAGCACAGAGCCCAATGTAGGTCTTGAACCCACAAATTGTGAGATCATGACCTGAGTCGAAGTAGGACACTTAACTGACTGAGCCACCCAGGTGCTCCAAGCAATTGGTTATTGATATCAGGTAAACATCACATGTTCAGTCTTCCAAGGACTATGTAGCTGAAACTGATAGCTGCCATTTATTGAGCATTTACCCTGTGCAAAGCACTATATCAAGGGCTTTATATAAATATTACATTTTTCTTAGCATAGTACATCAATGTACTGCCCACAGAGCATTTCAGTAAAAGCTTTTGGTTTATGTTATTAATGTAAATCTTTAGTTATTGTATGTTCTAGTGCATGTCCTTGGAGCAAACTAGGGCATGATCCTCTCATCTTCCAGTTTAGGAGAAATAGTTTCTTTGGGCTGCCATTTTATTGTTTGTAAAGTAAGGGGTTGAAGTCTTCTCAGTCCCTTACAGATTAATTCATCAATTAATCCAGTTTCTTGTACTGGCTCAGCAAACCTGTTCATAATTTGTACAGAAAAAAATCCTCAACAAATTTTGTTAAATGAGCAATAGAGTTCCACTTATACTATGAGTGTTGTGGTCATTGTATACTTCCCCAGTTAATGTCTCAAGGATTTTGATGTTCATATCTTAATGAACAAGAAGACTTTTCCATAGGCATAAACTAATAATAGGTAAATAGGTACCATTTGTATTGGAAAAATGCCATTTTCTACCTATATGTCTTTTCCTGTGTAGGAAAAACCTCATTTCTTTCCCTCCTGTCTGTCTCCTTTACCACTCATAGAAGACTTCACTTCTGACACTTCTGGCTAAATGTGTGGGGACTTTTCCCCCACCAAGCAATTCTTTGTGACACCAGCTGGGTATCCTATAATTTAACTCAATCTAACTCTATTTGGAGATAGTATCCGATCCCACAAGTTAAGGGCTCAGTCTGACACCCCACTTCAGATGCCAACTGTTAAGTAGTAGGTCCCCAGGTTACCTACAACTTCTGTCAGATTTGGCTACAAATCAGAAGTTCCCATGACTCCCTCCATGGACTCAATTTGCTAGAATGGCTCACAGAACTGAGGGTAACACTTAAGTTTACCAGTTGGGGTGGTACCACAGAACTTCTGTCAGATTTGGCTACAAATCAGAAGTTCCCATGACTCCCTCCATGGACTCAATTTGCTAGAATGGCTCACAGAACTGAGGGTAACACTTAAGTTGGGTGTTACCAGTTGGGGTGGTACCAGTTGAGCCACCGCCTGGGTGGCTCAGTGGGTTAAGCATCCAACTCTTGATTTCTGCTCAGGTCACGATCTCACGGTTTGTTGGGTTGGGAGCCCCATATTGGGCTCTCCACTGACAGTGTGGAGCTTGCTTGGGATTCATTCTCTCTCTCTCTCTCTCTCTCTCTCTCTCTCTCTCTCTTAAAATAAATAAAAATAAACTTCAAAAAAAAAGTTTATCAGTTCATTAAAGGTTATGATAAAGGTTGTAGATGAACAGCCAGAAGAAGAGATACATAAGACAATGTCTGTGAGGGTCTTGAGCATAGGAGCTTCTGTGCCTATGGAGTTGGGGTGTGTCACCCTCCTGGTGTGAATGTGTTCACCAACCTGGAAACCTACTGAACTCCATACTTTTGGTATATTTATGAAAACTTTGTCAAGCTTATGGCTTGATTTTTTTGGTGGCCAACCCCCACCCAGAATTGCATCATTAGAACAAAAGATATTCCTAATGCTCTTATCATTTAGGAATTTACCAGGGTCTTAGGAGTTCTGTGCCAGGAACTATGGGCAGAGACCAATATATACTTTATATTATCTAGGTGAAAGATACTAGGACCAAACCACCAAGGCTGTGGTAGTTGGAATGAGGATAGAGGGGGAAAATTTGACAAATATTTACTCTATTAAATTGGCTGGACCTGTTGATTAGATTTGGGATTAAAGGAGAGGAAAGGAATCTAGGATGCTTCCCAGTTTAGCTCTGAGTCACTGGTTCATGATACTGTCACTCACGTACTCCCACCCCCCTCACCAAAGAAGAGAAAGGTGGAGGGTCAGTTTTGTGGGGAGGTCATGAGTTGATTATTGACAAGTAGTTCAGATGCTTAATTATGGAAACATTTTGATGATGATCCCTGAATGTTTTTGCTGCAACTAAAGTTACACTGGAATTCTAGAAGTATCACTTAATAATGCTGTACAGTATTCAGGCCAAAAAAACTCTAGGTGTTTCATCAGCAATGAGGAGCAGTCTTTTAAGTTAGTTACCTTCTTGTGTTGAGATTTGATTGGTTAAAACTAGTGGCATGGAATTGCATAGCCAACATATGAAATAAATCCATATAGTTGTTTTTAATGATCTATGCCTTGGTTCCTTCATTTTAAAAAAGGAAGATGGTGATAATTGCCACTTATCACAAAAAGTCTTGGAAGAATCAGGTAGCACAATTAATTACATATTAATAATTTAGATCCCAGTGAATGGAATTATTGTTTGAATTTTTCTTTGCTTTCTCAGCATCATTCCTTTAGAAATAATTCCTGGTGCCAACAGTTCCCAAAAGGATGTAGCCTTGGGTAAGAGTCTATATCATCTTAGTAATTTATAAAAAACTGATATAATAATTATTTTTCCAGTGAAACACATGAAGATATGTTTTGTCAAAAGTATTTTATAACTGCAAAATGGCAAAAATCTGCAAATGACAACTTACAATTGGATTAGACCAGGATTTTAAAATTAAAGCCCTGATTTTAAACCCAGCATTGGCTGGGAATTCTTTAAAAATTAAGCCTCTAGGGGCATCTAGGTGGCTCGGTTGAGTGTGCCAACTTCAGCTCAAGTCGTGATCTTGCAGTTCGTGAGTTTGAGCCCCACATCGGGCTCACTGCTGTCAGCCTGTCAGCACAGAGCCTGCTTTGGATCCTCTGTCCCCATCTCTCTGCCCCTTCCCCACTTGCCTTCTCCCAAAAATAAATACTAAAAATTAAGCCTCTATATTTAGAATAATACTTCTACTGTTTTAAGATAACTGGGTTCGACAATTTTGTTATGTTTATTTTTAGGTGATTATTCCCATGCTTTTCACCAAACTTAGAAACTTAAGCTCATAGTGGGGCTTTTGAAAGGAATTGCAGTAATTGCATAGTATTGGCTATCTAACCATAAACTTGAAATTTATCTTTTTCCACTGAAAACAGAATCTCTCAAAAACTGCTTTTGGGTATAACTCACATAATTCGTATCCTAAAATCCACCTCTATCTAGCCTTAAGAATTCCATTAAGTGTCATATATTCTCATTCCTTTGCAGCTGTTGTTTTGAGCAGTTGTTTAATAACACTTGTCTTCTGTTGAGATCACTAGTCTATAGATAGAATAACCCCTAGAGTTTGAAATAACTAACTCCCTTGTTGAGGGAAAAGTGTATATTATATCATCTACCTCTTAATCTTCCAGTGATAATACTGAATTTCTTATGTTCTTAATTAAGGAACTTATGCCTAACATGGAGTATGGAAACATTTTAATGAAAATTGTTTGAGAATACTGGGTTTGTATTGTATACTTAATGGTACGGTGGACCCAGTGACCTTGTTAGCGGTCCCTTAAAAAGTGATCATTGTTAGTGTGTCCTAGAGCTAGATAGGTTGGCGGTTTAGTATGTGAACATACTAAAAGCCATTGAATTCACTTTAAGTGGATGAGTTGTATGCTGTGTGAATTAGATCTCAGTAAAGCTGTTTTATCTATTTTTAAAAGTGGTCATTGTCACAATTTTAGGGGAACTTAGATGAAGAAATATTTCTTGGCAATCAGAAGCTATTTTAGTTCTTTTATTTTCATACTACTTCTATAATAATAATTAGAGTATATAATATGCTCTAATGCCTACTGACCTTCTGATGTAGTTCCCTTACTTTCAGAAACAGCATATTCATTTAAAACATACACAATTGAGTATGTAGAGAGGGGAAAACAGATGTTTAAAGAGGCCATGGTGGTTTAGCCTATGAAAGCTGTGTGATCATTGGAGAAGTCAATTATTCAGAGCTAGCTTTAGTTCCCACATAAAATGAAGATGTTGGACCACATACTAGCTCTCAAACGCCCACAGGGCTAACCAGTTAATGTAAATGAATAAAGTTGTTTGGTTGGCATAAAGGAACCAGAAGCAGAGAGACTATGGTGTATAGGATAGTATATGCTCTTCTAATGTTTATTTTTGTTTGTTTATTTATTAGAAAGTATGTGAGCTGTATATGCTCTTCTAAAGAGAGCAGCACAACTCCGTTTTGGTCTGTTATTGCCTTATTTTATTGTAGGCTCAATGTAACTATCTTTTGATTCTCGAGAAAAACAGAAACTGGATTTTTAATTGCTCTTGATTTTTAAATAGTGAAACGAATCCTAAAAAAGTTTTAAACACTATGCAAGTCAAACTGCAAGGTATGAAGGATGAAGGAATCCTTCATAGGCCAAATGTTCTAGATTATATCAGCTGTTGACTAAATGACCTCTTTTGACTTGGCTAGCCATAGGACTCCCCCCCCCTTTTTTTTTTTTTTTAATCTTATAGAAATGCAGTGTGGTGCATACCAAAGAATATGTGTGAAACATATATGTAGGTTATAAAGTATAATACAAAATGAATAAAATTCCTAGACCTGACACATCATCTGCCTTTGTTCTCTTCCTGTTCCACATTTCCCTGCTCACTCCTCTGAGGTAACCACTATTCTACATTTTGGGATTAGATGCCTAAATAATACATTGGACTTGCCTGGTTTTGCTCGAGCCTTAAAAACAACATAGTTTTCTAGGATTTGCTTTTCAAGTGATGTTTCTGGGATTTGATAAATTGAGTGTAGTTATAGTTTGTTCTTTTATCACTATTGTATAATATTCCATTGTGTGAATGTATCCACATTTATTTAGTCTCCAGCCAGTAAACATTCAGGTTATTTTCAGCTTTTGGTTCTTGTGAAGAGTGCTGCTATGCACATATTTCTATGTGCCTCCTGAAGCAGAAGTTTCGTAGGGTATATACCGAGGAGATGAGTTGCTTGGTTGTATAATATATGAAGACTCAACTTCATAAGATAATGTCAAACTGTTTTTCAGCATAACTGACTTAGCCCCATGATTCTTGACTCTGAAAGTTCTCCATAGCTTTGCCTTCTCTAATTTATTGTATTCTCTTCTTCCATACTTTTTTTTCTCTTGGTGAAGATGACCTGCTTCACTGCCCCCCTATTTTCTTTTTCTCAAGAACTATATGTTCTCTGCCATTTCACTTCATTAAGAACATTTTCTCTAATAAAAAGATAAAAAAGGACTGGAATGCCTGGGTGGCTCAGTCAGTTGAGTTGTCTGACTTCGGCTCAGGTCATGAGCTCGTGGTTCTTGAGTTTGAGCCCCACGTTGGGGTCTGTGCTGACAGCTCAGACCCTGGAGCCTGCTTTGGATTCTGTGTCTCCCTCTCTCTCTGCCCCTTGCCCGTTCATGCTCTGTCTCTCTCTGTCCCTAAAAAAATAAATAAACGTTGAAAAAAAATTTTTTTAAGTTTTTCCATACAGAAATATTTACTGATAATTTAATGGTCATTCAGGCACCTGGGTGGCTCAGTTAAGTGTCTGACTCCTGGTTTCCACTCAGGTCAAGGTTTCACTGTTCAGGGAATCGAGACCCGTGTCAGGCTCTGTGTTGACAGCATGGAGCCTGCTTGGGATTTTCTGCCTTTCTCACTCTCTGTCTCCCTCAGAAGAAATAAATAAACGTTAAAAAAAATTTAATGGTCATTTAAAGAACTTTGTAAATTATGTTTGTCAGGTTCTGTATAGGATTACATTTAAGTTCTGTTTACTGTGGCTGTGTTTTTTTTAACTGCCTCACAAATGATCTGGATATTTCTGGCACTTATGAGCTCTTAGTTGTTTCAGGAGTTGCTCAGCATAAATAATTTGAAATTTTATTGTTGGGGAGTTTTTTTTTTAATTTGGGAACATGAATTTTTCTGTAATCAATTTGAATACTTTTATTTATTTTTTTAATTTTTTTTTCAACGTTTATTTATTTTTGGGACAGAGAGAGACAGAGCATGAACGGGGGAGGGGCAGAGAGAGAGGGAGACACAGAATCGGAAACAGGCTCTAGGCTCTGAGCCATCAGCCCAGAGCCTGACGCGGGGCTCGAACTCACGGACCGCGAGATCGTGACCTGGCTGAAGTCAGACGCTTAACCGACTGCGCCACCCAGGCGCCCCTGTAATTACTTTTTAAAAACTATGGCCACCACACCCACCTAGAACGTGTTCCTTATGCCCTTCTTTTTTGTTTTTAATTTTAAAAAATGTTTTATTTATTTTTGAGAGAGTGCAAGCAGGGGAGGGTCAGAGAGAGGGGGACAGAGGATCTTAGCAGGGTCTGCACTGACAGCACTGATCCTGATGCAGGGCTCAAATTCTCCAGCTGTGAGATCATGACCTGAGCTGCAGTTGGATGCACAACTGACTGAGCCCACCCAGGCACCCCTCCTTATGCCTTTTTCATTTATCCAAGTAAAGCTCTTGAGATTTTTGTTCTCTGCTTGAAGAGTCTAAAAAAGTGTTCAGCATGTGCATTTTTTTTTTCAAAGTAGACTTTATGCCCACTGTGGGGCTTGAACTCAGGACCCTGAGATTGAGAGTCACATGCTGTACCAACTGAGCCAGTCAGGCACCCCCAGCATGTGCATTCTTGGCAACTCTTAACCACAGCTCACATTTTTTAAAATTTAATTTAGTTTTATTTTTAAGTAAACTCTCTACCCAACATGGGGCTTTAACTCATGACCTCAAGATCAGGAGTTGCATGCTCTGGGGCGCCTGGGTGGCTCAGTTGGTTGTGTCCGACCTCAGCTCAGGTCATGATCTCGCAGTTTGTGAGATTGAGCCCCATGTGGGGCTCTGTGCTGACAGCTCAGAGCCTGGAGCCTGCTTCAGATTCTGTGTCTCTCTCCCCTTCTCTGCTAATGCTCTGTGTCTGTCTCTCAATAATAAGCGTTAACAAAAAAAAAAAAAAAAAAAAAAAAAAAAAGCCACATGCCCTACTGTCTAAGCCAGCCAAACACCCTGACAGCTCAAATTTCTATAGAAAATTTCAATACATTTTATCATTTTCTTCTGTGGTTAATTTTGGTTTTGATAACTTTAGAAATGAATGCTTTAGGGGAAGAGCTTTTCCCATTTATTTTTTAACTGTTTATTTATTTTTGAATACTTATTTATTTTTGAGAGACAGCATGAGCAGGGGGAGGGGCAGAGAGAGAGGGAGACAGAATCCCAAGCAAGCTCAGTTCTATCAGCGCAGAGCCGGATGCGAGGCTTGAATGCAGGAGTTGTGAGATCATGACCTGAACTGAAACCAAGAATTGGATGCTTAACCAACTGAGCCACTCAGGCGCCCTGCTTTTCCCTTTCAGATGTTAGTGTAACACCTAAAATTTAATGGTATGAGGTTTCTTCTTAGAGTGATAAAAATGTTCTAAAATTGGATTTTGATGATGGTTGTACAACTCTGAATATGCTAAAAACTGTT